CCACGCGCTGTAACTAGCGTATCGTCGGCGTAACAAATGACGCCGACGCCGTGGAGTAGCGCACCGCGCAGAGCCCAGTCGTAGCCAACGTTCCACAAGAGCGGACCAAACACCGATCCCTGCGCAACGCCGCACGACGTCTCTCGCCGACCCCATCCTTCTCGACCCGGGTACACCACCGACCTGTCCGATAAATAGGCCCCGACAATGCGTTGGAGGTAGCGCGGCACCCCGTGATACCGGAGCGCTTCTCGGATGGTAGGCCAGGGCAAGGTGTTGAAAGCGTTGGCGATGTCGAGCGACACCGCCAAGACCACCTCGCCCCGGGCGACTGCCTCCTCCGCCAGGACCTTTACGCGCATGATCGCGTCGACCGTGGAGCGCCCCTGGCGGAAACCATATTGGTTGTCCGCCAAATCCGGCCCCACCCTGGTCATGTGCTGGACGAGGCGGCCGGCGATGATTCGCTCGAAGATCTTACACACCTCGTCCAGCAACACGATCGGCCTGTACGCAGACGGGGAGTCTGCGGGGCGCCCCGCCTTCTTGAGCAGGACCAGCTTTCCGGTCTTCCACCGGCTTGGAAACTGGCCCCGCTCCAAACATGCGCTTAAGAGCCCCGCTAGTCGGGGCCAGAGAGCTCTCATAGCCAGGACCCATGCACGGCCTGGAATGCCGTCGGGCCCTGGGGCGGTGTTCTTGATGCGAGCCACCGCCACTCTCAACTCTACCCGGGTCACTTCGGGCACGTTTTCGTCAGTCTCGTCTTCCGCGTTGGGCGAACTACGAGGCGGAACCCTAGCCGGTGGAGTGTGCTCCGGTCTCGTCGGAAACAACGCACACACCACCTCCTCCAGCAGCTGTGGCTGGAGACTCCGGGTTAGTGGGGGGGCCCATTGGCGCAATTTGCCCCGTACCATGAGGTAGGGGCGTCCCCACGGAAACGAAAGGACGGATTACCATCAGGTAATCCGTCCTTTCGTTAACCGACCTATCACGTAAAAATACAGAAAAAGTCAATATAGTTTGTCTAAAGAACCGACCAATGGTCACAAAAGATATGGCTTCATTAAACACCATATAATTTAGTGTTACCTACCCAATCCCTAAATCGCCAAATTCCTAAAAAACAGAGCTAGAAACAGAAAACGGAGACTGATAGAGCTGGCTCTGTTTTTTAGGTCGGCAAACGAGCAGACGAATTACCTGATGGTATGCAATCAGCGCCGCTCATGGACACCCGCAACAACAGAAGAGTTACGAGCGCGTTGCCGACCTTTTGGGGATTTGGAGATTTAGGGATTGGGAGAGGGTAAGGATTGGGCCTTCGGTAACCTCACTCACACGACGAAACACAACGCTGTAGTTGTTTCACGCCGGTTTTCTATGAGGCAGTGGTGTCACTCTTTACACTGTACTAAGTCTCTCTTTATTTTTATACCTGCGTACAAATTAACTGTACAGTGCTCACGTAAACTTTAAAATTTATAATAATAGCACAGGTTAACAAGGAAAAAATAAGCTAAAACGCTTAAAGGCTTATATTTTCCTTTTATTCGATGCATAATAGAATCGAATAAATATATGTATTGTAAACTAGCGGCCCGCCCCCGCTTCGCACGGATCCAGCTATCTCGCTATCAAAGGGTCACCTTTTTCTGATCTTCCCCTCTACTTTTCTAATATTTTCTTTTATAAGAACCTTCTCCTGACAATAATAAATACAACAAAAAAGAATTAGCAAAATTGGTCCAGGCGTTGTTGAGTTATGCGCTTACCAACACATTTTGCGATCCATTTTTATATATAAGATTATGAAAGTTCGTATATGTTGCTCCTTTTTAATGCCTGTGGTGGTAAGAGGATGTCAGACTCCTAGACCTGATTTTTCAATAGTCAGATAAATGTTATCTGTGGATTAAAATTGTTGCTGTCACTGTCTTATGCAAACTTTATGACGCGACAGCAACATAATTAATTCCTAGGTAACTTTTATCTAACCTGACCCGAGCGTTCCGCGCGCGCCTCTAAGAGCCAATAGACCACCACAGACGGGGCCCTATAGGGCTGATGTTAAGCTGGGGTTGCGGGTAAGCGCAATGAGGCACCGCGACCTCTCCGTGGGGGCGTTTACAAACATTCAATTTCACATACACATTACACCCAGACCCAAAACACAATTAGTGGATCCCAGTCCCAAGTGTGGGAGAGCCATGCTTCGGCACGAATGGGTCGGCTCGACCGGAGTGATACCACGGCCTCACAGAAGACCGGCGTGAAACAACCACAGCGTTGTGTTCCGCCGAGTGAGTGAGGTTACCGGAGGCCCAATCGCTTCCCGATCTTTTTATCCGCAACCCCTATCCCCAAAAGGCAGGCAACGCACTCGTAACTCCTTTGGTGTTGCTAGTGTCCATGGCCGGCGCTGATTGCTTACCATCAGGTAATCCGTCTGCTCGTTTGCCGACTTATACCATAACAAAAAAAAAAAAACATACAAAGTTGCCATTTCTTTGAAAGAATAAAAATCGTATTCATATGAAAATGATATTATTAAGTCATGTAATAAATTATTCAAACGATTTTGATCTATATTCCCATAATAATAAGGCAGGTAGCAACCAGTATTAACATACGGGACTAGAAGTTTCTAAAAAAAATCAATTTTTATTCTTTTTCCGTGGTTTTTTTTTATTTCACGGCGGTTTTCTTTGAGGCCGTGGTATCACTCCGGTCGAGCCGACACATTCGTGCCGAAGCTTGGCTCTCCCACACTTGAGAATATATCTCTTTGCGCGTAATTTTAATGGAAGCCACGTGTTTTTAAGTGTGGAAGAGCTATGCTTCGGCACTACTGGGTCAACTCGATCGGAGTGATACCACGGCACAGAAAACCGGCGTGAACAAGCCCTGTGAGTGAGGAATTTTGGTATCATCAACCCGCCTTGAGCAAGCGTAGTAATTTAACTTTCAATCGTGGTAATTCGAGCGTAATAGAACAACAATAGGTGCGCGAACGCCGGCGTTCGCTTGGGGTTTGATGTTTTGTTCGTGCCCTCTCCGTGTGAGAAGAGGCCTTTATTTTATTATTGAATTATGGACAACCAGTAGCTGTTATATTATTGCTTACATCTAAACATTAAATACACTATAATAAAATTAAATGTACAGCATTTTAAGGTGTCACAAAATATTTCGTAGTTACACAAAAAATAATTGAAAAATCAATATATCAATACGGTAGTTTCCAACTAGTCAAATTCAATACTTTTATCCAAACGTCAAAAACGATACTTTTCTATTAAATTTGTATGAAAAACTGAGCTATGACGTCATAACTTTTTTGCATCAAATAGCTTACTTATTTCTTAATAACGAGCTAAAAAAAATCTAAAAATTAGTGTATCGATCCATCGATGAATAAAATTATACTTATTTTTCAATATTTTATTGTATTGAAATGTCGAAATAATTTATTTTTGATCTAGGAAACTACCCAATTGAAAAATCAAAAATCTATAAAAGAAAGAATATAATTTAAAATAAATTTAAAATAGTAGGAAGAGTAATAATATAAAAATTGCAAAAATTACGATTCTAAATTAAACTAAAATAAAAACAAAAATTTTTTTTTTACTTAAACAAAAATTGACATATCTTCTTTGCTCAACATGATCACGCACGCAGCTTGCTCTGCGGAATAGTTTCAGCTGTGTCTCCGTCTGTCACTGCATCTATATAATACAAGAGTGTTTGAATAGGAATTTAGATACCCTGGCAATAAGAACCAGTATCGCGTGTTTAGATGTCCAATCTGCGATTGTGCAATTTTTTCAACGAATTTTTAATGTCTTGAATGTATGAATATCAATTTTAAACGATGTATTCTATTGGAATTGTAAAATTGTTCTCCTATTCGTGTTTCTTAGTTTTTTTTTATTGTGTCACATTTTTTTTTCTTGAATTGTTTCTAGATCATGTTTATTTATTAAATATAGACTACCTACAGATACAAACATTTTATAGGAATATGTTTGCCTATACTAATATTATAAAGAAGTAAAATTTGTAACCTTGTATGTAGGGATTACCACCTACATACAAACTTACAAATTTTGGAAAGCTGGTCGGATTTCCAAAATTCCTTCATAGATATCTATCTATGAAGGAATAGTTAGTGCATAGCTACAATGTTCCGGAGTGCTATCTATACTAATATTATAAAGAGGTAAAATTTGTAAGTTTGTATGTAGAGGGTAATCTTTGGACGCGCTGGTCGAATTTCCAAAACTCCTTCACAGACAGATAGCTACAATGTTTCTGAGTGCTATGGGTTATAAAACATTATGCTACGACTAAATAGAGCCGAGTGAAACCGCGCGAGAGTAACTAGTATTCAATAAACTCAGAAACTACTGGACCAATTTGAAACGTTTTTTCATCATTGGAATGTTTATTCTACAAGTCAACTTTCCAAATATCTCTTTTGGATTTCTTACTAGAAAAACGGTACCTTATTGTCTGATAGTAAGCGGGTTCGAGTCCTGTATGTAACAACTACGCTTTCTGCAAATAGTTTTTCTAGGTTTGGGTGGGACGCATCCATGGTATTGGAGATAATTCTGGTTTCTAGAATGTTAAAACCCACCTCATATACACACAAACACCTACCTACTAACTCAACTAACAACTTGATATTTTTTTTATTTTTTATTTATCTAATTCTTAACTTTTTTGTTTTTTTTTCTCTTTTATACAATGTGATTTAAATTAAGTAATTTAATATTATTTTATAAGCTAGTAATAGCCCTCTTTGCAACGCCTGAAAAAGGCCGTTAAGCTGTGCCTGTTATTTTAATTTAAGATCCTTGTACCCATCTTGATATGCAAATAAAGAATTTGATTTTGAATTTCAGATCATGTCTAAAAATATATTAGGCAGTACTAATAAGTTTTCGGTACTTCCAAAAAATCTAACCAAGTTTTTTCTCTCATTCCAGATCTTGAAATGCAGTGATAATCCCAACAAAAACATTTTATTTTGAATTTCAAAATCCTACAAACCATTTTGGGTACAAAATTATTTATTCGGAATTCACAGTACGGGCATAGCGGACGGCATCCAACGAACTGTTAATAAGCTTTATAAGCGTAGCCAATAATCTTGTAATCAAGATATAGGCTGAATCAGTTGACAAAGAAACGAGTTAAAAATGGAGAACCTAACCGTTTTGTCGTTCAGGAAATTTGAGGACATCAAACGCCTCGCTAGACACTTTCAAAATGTTGTCAACCACCCACTCACGCAACAGAACAAAGTACTACATTCTTATCTAAGGAATCTAGACGAAACGCACAAGAATATATATTTACAAAAACGCGATTACGTTGAGGTTGAATATATTTTTACGACTGAGAAAAAGAGCAGTTTGCAAAGGCAAAGATTTAATAGTCTTCCTGTTAGTGAAGTTCCTGAACTATTGAAAGCTGAACTCTTCACGTCAGATGACGCTAAGCAAGTCCATATATGCACTGATTGCAATATTGAGATTGAATTAAATGACGAAGAACCGCTTATGGAATCTTTACAACGCCATTTTAATTCTGATGCCCATCTGCCTAAGTTGAGGCGGGAAAGCATGGATGTGGCCGAGCCTATAATTTTGCCGAACATGTCCCGTCGTCTATCCGCTATGGCAGAGCTGCCGTTACCCAAAATAAAAGAGCTCACGATCACAAAGCCTGTAGAGAAATTGGAAAAGAATTTCTCGTCAAAACTTAGCACTTCGTTGATGAAGATACTCCCAGACGCTTCCGAAGCCAGTGTGGATGCCGCTTTAAAGTTCTATCAAGAGTTATATGACAAACTTTGCTCTGATGTCTCCAATATTGACTTTTCGACTCAAACGTCCTCCGTTGCTCCGATTATAATGAGCATTAAAGACAATGTCTACCAGAATTTTGCTGGAGACGCAAATAAGAACATTGACAATGATGAGAACGATCAAGCCGCCGAGAAACCGAAAAACCAAGTGAAGAAATATCGTTACTATGGTCCCATTGAAGCTTCGATTGTAAAACTTCTTGTCAACCATAAACTTTTGTCGTTAATTGATGATCGGACTGGTAAATTGGCATTTTTCTGCATAGCTTGTGAGTATTACACGCTGAGGTTTCATTACGACAGTGTTTTGAACCATGTGTTTAGTGAGACTCATGTCCACAATCTATCCTGCATCCTACAGTCTGATAAAAGCATTTCTTTCTCCATGACTGAACCAACTATAGAGAAAATTAAAGAGATGAATGAAAAGTTCCTTTTGAGCCACGATATTGTTTTTACCCCGATCGGCTTGAATTGTAGGCTGTGTGCCACTCCGATCGAGTCTGTGGAAGCTTCGATTTTGCATATACTCGATGAGAAACACTTGGCCAGGTTGTCTGACGAGTTGTACCTTCGTATGAAGGAAGCTGACCCGGAAGGTGCTATCCCTGAAGAATGGGGTCCTAAAGACTTAAATTGGAGTAAGTACTTAGCGAGCGTTGGCAAACCGCACAACAATCGGGACCACGTGGTCATTGAAAACTTTATTAAACCCTCGGGAAAGATTGGAAACTATTGTACCTGTTGCGATATGACTTTAAAGGGACCTAGACAAGTCCTTTTTAACCACATCCGTCAGAAAAAGCATTTGAGGAACGCTGCGCCTCGTAAACTGTCGATGCTCTACAAAAACCACTGCAGACCCTCTGAATATTACGCTAGCTTCGGAAATTTCTACATTTGCACCATTTGCCCTGAGTTCGTAGCGACGCCTTCGATTTCCGCGATGGTCGAACACTTCGAAAGCGCTTCCCATTTCGATACCATTGCTAAACTGATCCGATCAGCCCTCTACAACCAGCCAGACATGCAAATTTTGTCAGCGAACAAAATTACCGCTGATTTGAAATGCGAAGTGTGCAAAACATCATTCCATGATAAATCTGAAGCTGTGAAACATATTTTAAGTAGCATTGATCATGAAACAGCGGTGGCTGAAGCGAAGATCAGTTTTAATAAGGGAGATATCATCAGCGTTTATATGAAAGGCAATCATATTCTGCATAGCGAAGGAGCTACTTTTACTTGCATTGATTGTAAGGGTGTTTTCAATTCCATACGATCGTTACTAACCCATTTGGTGTACGCTGGACATTTTAAGGAGAAGCCAGCTATTGAGGGGGTCTTCCGTTTTTATTTGGAGTTGAAGCATAATATAAATATGTTGGCGCGTAATAAGTATGTGTATTATCAATTTGGAAGTTTGAAATGTGGTGTGTGTGATGCGGACCTTGAAGAAGGGGAGACCGCGAAAAAGCATGTTGTTTCGACGCGTCATAGAGAGAATATGGGGGCCAGCTATGTTAGTATAGATACGTCCGCTGTTGAATAAGGTTGGTAGATTTTTCCTTATACTTTTTTCGGTATACGTGTATGTTTACCTGATCCTAAGCAATCATTGCCGCCTATGGACTCCCGCAATACCAAAGGTGTTACAAGTGAATGATTATGATGACCTAACAGGTGTCCTAATAGATCGTGCGATGCCATAGCACGATGGCTTTATTCTGGGACTCTCTGATGGCTTTTTTTAGGATTTAGGGGGAAAGGGATTAAGGATGGATTTCTGGTTTCCACACTCGTACGGTGAAACACCGCTGTGGTTGTTTCACGCCTGTTTTCTGCGCTGTTTCTGGCTATGTGTTGTGTATTGGTTTTTAGCAGATAAGCTATTTTGGTTTTTGTTCTATAGAGGCATGGACGTTAGGTTGTCGCCAGTTTTGTTATGTTGACAAAGACACAGTTACGAGAGAGAATTATAACTTTAGTAAAGATGCAAATGTGGGAGGGGGAGGGTCCCTTATTTCGTCCCGTCAGAAGTCTGGGGAGATGGTGTTAGCCACCGCACGTCCTCTGCCTTACTGCCTCAAAAAGTTTTTCTCTCTTTCTTTCTCATTGGCCTCTTCTAACGACTTTTACATAGATTTTCCGTCGATCAAACGAACTACCTGATGGTAAGCAATCGCTGTCTCTCATGGACACCTGCAAAAGCTAGGAGCTATCAGCTCCCTGTAGGCTTCTATTCCGATAACATCATACACTAGAATTTTGTCCTGTCTCATAGGTTCACTTATAACATACAATTTCACAAATCACACCCAGACACGTGCCAGTTATCAAACCCGCGACTTGTTGCACCAGCCAGTTGCCAGACCTTGTCCAATCGTGCAGTCTAACTTACCAAGTTATACTACTACATAAACCTCCTTTGTCTATAAAACCCCCTTTGTCTATAAAACCTCCTTTGTCTATAAAACCCCCTTTGTCTATAAAACCCCCTTTGTCTATAAAACCCCCTTTGTCTGTAAAACCCCTTTGTCTACAAAACCTTTTATTTCATTTTTATTGTATTTTATTTTAATAGATACAGTGACAGTCTACTAACTCAATCGCCTTAATTTTAACAATTTACAGTACCTACGTAAATCTGACTCTCAATTATTCCCCTACACAACAATCAATGATCAATATGCGTTATATTTAATTATAATATTTTACTTACAACACCCTTTTTCTCTAAAAAACCCCTTATTCTGTACAAAACCTCGTTTCACTAAAAATCCTTTTCTACTAAAAGTGTTTAATATTTTCCTATTTTTGTTGCAGATGTCGCCTGTTGTGTTTAATGTGACAAACTGATGTTAATATGAAGAATCATGAGTTTAAGTGTAATTACGATGAGAAATCATTTTACAATGAAATTTTAATAAATGAATTAATTTTATAACTATTATATTGGTTGTTTTATTTTTTTAAAACCTTTTAAATTTACTGGGTGAAGTGTTGTAGGAACTTTTTTATGCTTAAGTAAGCCGGGTTGTCACAATAAGATTTGGCTCGGACCGAGTGCACTCGGATGTCAACTCGGATGCTACTCGTATCATGTAAACAGGTTATCCGAGCGCACTCGGACGCCAACGTCTAATCCGAGTCGGGAGATGATCTCCGGCCACCGTAAGCGCGGGTCTGCGGTCGGTGAGTAAGGGCAGCTCGCTGCCCGACCAGAACCAAGCCCGAGCGTACGGCGCATAGCGTTCCGCGCGCGCCTCAAAGAGCCAATAGACTACCACAGACGGGGCCCTATAGGGCTTATGTTCAGCCGGGGTTGCGGGATAAGCGCAATGAGGCACCGCGACCTGGGCCCAGAGCAGGAGAAGGAACAGGCGGGGTCTTAGTCAGTAAGAGTCTGACACTCCCTCTCGCCCGGCCCTGGGCGGGAGAAGTCATTTGATGATTTAAAACCCTAACAAAAAAAAAAAATGTCTAATCCGAGTAGACTCGGACTCTGCTCTATTTTTCGAGCTCACTCGGATCATTTGAATGTACTCTGTGGATCATTTTTATGAAAACAATATGGCGACAATAAACCACTATCCGTGTACACTCGCACGAAGCTGACTCGTACGAGTGCACTCGATCCGAACCTATTCTTACTGTGAAAACCCGGCTTTATGCGGTATGTCTGCAAAGGAGCAGACTCATTACCTGATGGTAAGCAATCATAGATATCGGCAACTGGAACGCCAGGAGCTATCAGAACGCTGCAACAGCTGGGGAGTTACGAGTTTCGGAGATTTAGGAATGGGGAGTGGGGAAGGATTGGGCCTCTGGTAACCTCACTCACACGGCGAAACACAACGCTGTAATGTTTCACGCCGGTTTTCGGTCAGGCCGTTGTATCACTCCGGTCGAGCCGACCCATTCGTGGCTCTACCACACTTATGGAGTGGAATAAGTTAGGTATTATGTTTGATAGACCATTTAACGAAAAAAACTAGGTAGTTATAGGCTATAAAACATCACGCTAAGAACAATAGGCGCCAAGCAACACTGAAAACGCGCCAGAGTTCCTCATTTAAATATTGTCTCAAGGGAATTTAGGTTGGAGCTACGGGCAAGGCGTAATAATGTAGGTACTGGTTTTAAGTCAGCAAGAGTCTAACACTCCCTCTCGCCTTCCAAGAAGAGGGAAGACAATATTGATATTTTTTTCCAACCTAACATTTTTTTTAAATGCCTTTCAATTACAAAGGTATGTCTCAAACAAAAAATCTAGTCAGGAATAAAACAAAAACTATTTGGTATAAGGTATTTTATTTTTTATAAATAATTAAGATTAATACATAAAAAAGCAACATTTTACATCGATCTTAGCTTAAATATCTATAAAACTGTTGAATATCTATTAAAATGTTACGCAGCACGGGTTTTCATATAAACTTTGAAAGTTTCACATATTTTTAAGCATGAGAAAGATATTTTTTGTTGTGAAAAATTTATTTTTTTCGTTCTCTCTCTGTTTCTTGGGGGCAGATTAAGATATGCTACTTATAACAAAACAAGGTCTGTCTATAGGTCATTGAGTCATTTTTTGTATTTCAAATTGAAGGTAGGAGAAAATAAGATTTAAAATACAAAACCTGACTCAGTGGACTGGAATGGACTAAAGATTAATCTAGTTTTGTAAGGAGGTAGGTTAGGTTAGGTTAACCTAAGTAATATTTTATTATTTTATCAGGCTTCAGTTTCTGTCTCATTTTCTTCCTCCGGCAGTTCAGATAAAGGAATAATAGCCGGTGGTGTATTACTGGTGCACGTACAATAACAGTTTTTGCCATCAGGACCCTTAGGAAGGAGTAGGATCTTTAATCGCATATTAGTCTCCAAGGCGTTCATAATTTCTGTAACATAAAAAATAAAACACTTTTATTCCTTAAATAGAGGTTAGAAAAGTGTCATGTTAAGCTTGTAAGAGGACAAAATATGTCGGACGTTTAGCACACAATAGTCTAAAAAGTTTCCTACGTCAAAAAAAAAAAAAAAACAATCAGCCGAACATAGCACCTCCTCCTTTTTGGAGTCGGTAAAAATAAATTAATGTGACGTCTCAATAGAATAAAATGTTGAAATAAAACTATACTTTTATTCCTCGATCGATCGTTACGCAAAATTTTCAATATTTATTTAGCTAATGTTTGAGAAATATGTGAAGCTATTGGAAGCAAAAATACTACGACGTCATAATATGGAGTTTCATGGAAAAGTTACGTTTTTGACATTTTGATAAAAGTATTGAATTTGATTAGTTGGAAACTACCGTATTGCCAATTTTTATCTTAAATTATATGAAAACTATCTATTCTTACGCGGTTTCACCCGCTGCTCTGCTCCATTCGATCGTAGCGTGATGTTTTATAGCCTATAGCACTCAGGAACATTGAAGCTATATCAGTGAAAGAATTTTGGCAATCCGACCAGCGGTTCCAAAGATTACCCCCTACACAATGATGTATAAATCTATAGATACGTTGTCCGCGCTCTAAAATGGCAACATGAAATGAAGGCAATTTGACAACATCGCGCTTAGTCACGCACCAACCTCCCGCGCGACGCTACGTTTGTTATAATTTATATCGTGTGTGTAAACCTGTGCGAAACTAAAGAAAGCATGCCGTCGTGTGTGTTCAGACGATGTACAAATTATACTCCAAAAGTTAAAGACAAAAATGTGTCATTTCATGCGTAAGTTCACCAAAAAACCTATTTTTATTTTATTTTTTCGACGCCGGCGCCCGCCATCTTATGGCGGCCGGCGCATGTAGGTATAGTCACGTGCCGATGTAACTGAAGATGTATATTTATCTCCCTCTAGCAAAGGCATTCCACTATACGATGTCATATTTTCTTTCTCTTTCTTTACTCGTAGAAGTAGTTATCTAGTATTTTTGCCGTTTTTAAGCGCCGCGATGTTGGTTCATGACGTGTCTATATATAATACGTCATTGCCCCTACATACAAACTTATAAATTTTACCTCTTTATAATATTAAGTACTATAGATTAGTCGTAAAAGTTCTGACGTCGTGGTGACCCGGAAGTCGTCCGCTTCTCATGCATGCGGGCTCGAAACGTAGCAAGTACCTACCAATGGGACCTTTCCAAGTTATATTTACTATCTATAATTATTTAGACACCACTGACATACGGTGAAGGAAAACATCTTGAGAAAACCTGAACTTATAATTGCTTTGATATCGTCAATCCGCTCTGGAACTACCGGTTCGAATAGAACAATAATTCTTTTTGTGTTTGTTAGTCCATTTATCGAGGAAGGCTACAGGCTATGAAAAATCACGCTAGATGCTACTATATTTAAAAACCGCGCAAGAGTAGCTAGTAAGTTGATATTTTCAATCGATTTAACACAGGAGATAATATAAAAAACTCACCTTTACGTCCCTGGTTGACACAAAGCTTGCCCCCCGCTTTAGGTATATTTACGTCTGTCTCAAATTTCACCCCCTGTTGACCAGGCGGCTTTGGCTCAGGAGCATAAGATGGTTCAACATTATTGGTTTTTTCCGACAACGCACTAGTTTTTTCTGTTGTTGTTTTATCTGAATCGTCTTTTGTTGTTGGCGCGTTGTCGGTGGTGGTAAATTGTCCTGGTTGTTGCGTTCTCTCGGTTGTTGTCGACAACTGAGTTATTCCTTTGATTGTTTTTGTTGTAGTGTATTCTTGAGTTGATTGTAATACTGTCGTCGTTCCTTGGTTTCCAACTTCTGTGTTGGTCTTCTGTGGTTCTGTTGTCGTATTTAAATCATTTTCTTTTACTGTCTTAGTTGGTTCTTCAGTTGATGAGTTGACTGTTGAAGGAGTTGTGGTTGATGCCTGGTTGTCTTCTGTTGTTGGTTGTTTACTATTTTGTTGTTCAGGGTTTGGTTTAGGTGTTTCGGATGGTGATCCTTGAGTCGTTGGGATTTCAGAGGATGTTGAAAGGTTTTCTTCTGTTGTTGGTTGGTTTGTAACATTATTGACTGGTTGTTTAGTTGTTATATCTGATACTGGTTTCTCTGTTGTTGTTTCAGAAGACTGTTCTGTGGTCTCTTTCGTAATAGCATTTACTGCATTTGTTTTTTGATCATTAGAAACTTTTGTTGGAGTTGAGTCAGATTTTTGATCACTAGAAACTGTTGTTGAAGTTGACTCAGTTGTTTGATCAGTAGAAATAACTTGTGTGGTTGTAGACTCCTCATTCAGTTTCTCAGTAGTTCGTTTGTCAGTTTTAGCTTCTTCAGTGGAGGTAACTGTTGTGGATTCGTCAATAACTTTCTCAGTCGTCGTTGAGGATACAGTAGAGACAGACTGTTCAGCAGTTGTTGATAAAACTGTTGTTGTTTTTTCTACATCATTATCAGTCTTTGTACCTTTTTCGACACTTTCGTTACTTATTTCATATGAATTTTCATAAGACTCGGATTCTTTCGGTTTTTGCAATGAATTCTGGTATTCCATTGACTCAGTTGAGTGTGAATCGTACTCGGAAGATGTAGACGCTTCTTCTGACTCAAATTCCGTAGATACTTCTTCTTCTGAAATCTTTCTTTCATATCTTTCTGTGGTAACTGACTCAGTTGACGGTTTTGTGGTCTCTGTTGAAACAACTGGGGAAGTTTTAAGTTGTTGTACAGTCGTTGATGGATTAGCCTCAGTGGTCGTTGAGTATACATCTTGAGTTGTTGGGTTATCAGTTGACGGAATAAGTTTTGTAGTTGAAATACTTTGAGTTGTTTCTTTTTGAGTACTAGATAATGATTGGGTTGTTGACGGAATATTTGTTGTTGATTCAGTGGCTGGTTGTTCTACTGACTGGGTAGTTGAAATGGCTGGAATTGATTGTTGTTCTGTTGATGGTTGGTTACTGGCTGTGATAGAGTTTTCTTGAGTTGTTCCTTCAGTAATTTCTTGGTTACTTGTGAATGTTTGAGAAGTTGTTGAAGTTGCTTGTGTTGTTGTTTGTTCAGATAACTGTTTTTCTGTTGACGGTGAATCAGAAGCAGTTGAAGAAATATTTTGTACTGATTCTTCTGTAGCTGATTGTGACTTTGATGTCGTTGATGGTTGAGTTGTCGATTCAGTCTTAGTAGAAACGTTTTCTGTTGATTTTTCAGTAGCTGTTGGCTCAGTTGTTGAAGTCTGAGTTGTTGAAATAACTCCAGTAATTGATTCCTCAGTAGCTGCCGACTGATCGGTTGAAGAAACAGATTGTGTCGATTGTTCAGTAGCTGGGTGTTCACTTGTTATTGAGTTAGATACAACTACAGTTGTCAACGCCTGATCAGTGGTTGTTGACACAACTGCTTGGGTTGTTCCAGTACTTGATTCTGTTATTACTGATGACTGGGTTGTGAACTGTTCAGTACTGGTTAATTGCTCTGATGACGATGATGAAGAAACCTCTTCAGTCGATATTACCTCAGTTGACAGTTGTTCTGAAGCTGTTGTTAACTCAGTTGTTGAAGAAGATTGAGTAGTTGATATCTCAGTAGCTACAGACTGATCAGTCGTAGAAATATCTTGTACTGAGACATTATCAGTTGAAGATTTTTGAGTTGTTGTAGTTGAAACTATTTGAGTTGTAGATGCCTCTGTTGTTACTGACTGATCCGTAGAAACTGATTGTGTTGTTGATAGTTCCTCAGTACGACTTTGTTTGGAAGCTACATCAGTTGATAAAGGTGCATCCTTTTGAGTTGTTGTTGTTTGCTGAGTTGATGATTCATCAGCAGTTGATGTGGATACAGATTGAGTTGATGGAATTTCAGGAGTAGTTTTTGTAGATGAAATGTCAGTTGTTGAAGGATTATCTTGAGTAGTTGGTAACTGAGTTGTTGTTGAAACTTCAGTTGTAAATTGTCCTTGGTTTGTTGATGAAACCGTTTTAACTTGTCTTTGTTGTTGTTCTGCGCTACCTGATGTTGTCGAAACAAACTCAGTTGTTAATTCGTTTGTGTTAGGTTGAGTTGAAGTTGATATATCGGGTATGTTAGACTGTCCTGTAGTTACTGTTGTCTTAGATTCGGTTGTCGAACCCAGAGACATTTGGTGAGTAACTCCTTCTGATGTTTCAAAATCTTCAATCGATTTTGAATCATATTCCCCTTGTCTTTCAGTGTCCTCTTCAGAGCTATTTTCTGTAGAATCGTACGCAGAAGAATTTGATTCTTCTGAACTGACATATTCGTCGTAATGTTGTTCTGTTGAAGTAGTTGATATAACTTCAGTTGTTGAAGAAATTGATTTAGTTTTTCCTTGTTCAGTTGAACCCTGATTAGTTGTCACTGAAGCAGCTGTTGTTGGAGTAATAGAAGTTTCTGTATTTTGTTGAGTTGTTGAAAGTTGTTCAGAAGTGACTTCGCTAGTTATTTTCTGAGTTGTTTTATCAGTAATGTTTGCCTCTGTTGTAGAAGTAGTGTCTTCTATAGGTTGTGCAGAAGAATTTTGATTTATATTCTCTTTTGTGGTTTCTGGTTGAGTTGTTATTCGTTGGTTAGTTGTTTTATCCGCTGAATTAGATTCAGTGGCCGGTTGTTCAGAAGTAACTGATTCGCTGGTTGTTGTTGATAATTTTTCTGAAGTTGTCTGCGCAGGAGATGTTGTCGTTACGTCTGATTCAGCAGATCTTTCAGTCGTAGTACTTTCAGTGGTGTCTAAAGGCGTTTGTTGTGTAGTTGTTGTTGATTGTTGTTGTTCAGCTAGAGTTGTTTCAATATTTCCTTGTTCACTTGATGGTTGTTCCGTGGTTACAATTGTTGTTGGCACTTCAGTTGCTCCCTGAACAGATGTTGTTTTAACTACAACAGTTGTATCTTGTTTGCCACTTGATTGAGAAGAAGTTGTCTTTTCATTTTTTTCTGTTGTAGTGGTAATTTCTGTAATCGCTTGCTCACTAGAAGTTTGTACAGAAGAATTTTCACGAGAATTTTCAGCTTTATTAGTTGTTGTAGATTGATTTACTTCTGTGCTAGGAACTTCTGAACTGAACTCTTCAGAAGAAGAAGACGTACAGTCAGATGACGAGTCTTCTGTACTACTAGAACTTGGTATGTAAGTTTCTGTCGAAGTGAATTTCTCTAAAGTATTTTCTTCTGACGCAGTGTTCAAATCTTGTGTTTTAGGTGTACTTTTTGTTTCTTCTTTTGGTTTTTGTATTGTTGTGCCTGATTCGGATGTAATTTCGGCTGCTTTTGTTGTTTTTGATTCATCTGTAGCGACGGCAGATTTTTCTTCCGTTGAAGGAGAATTTGTATCTTCTGTGGGCTTCTTAGTAGGTGACGCTTCATTATTAAGAGGAGAATTTGAGGTGGCAGAAGTGCTATCTTCTGGGGCTGGGTTTAAATCTTCTGATTTAGGTATATTTTTGGATTCCTGTTTTGTGCTTTGTGTTGGTGTGACTGATTCGGTTGTTATTTCACCTTTTGTTGTTTTTGATTCTTCTGTAGTGACATCAGATTTTTCTCCCGTCGAAGAAGAAGTAGTAACTTCCGTGGGCTTCTTAGTAGTTGACGCTTCATTATAAAGAGGAGAGTTTGTGGTGGCAGAAGTGCTATCTTCTGGGGCGGGGTTTAAATCTTCTGATTTAGGTGTACTTTTGGATTCTTCTTTTGTGCTTTGTGTTGTTGTAACTGATTCGGTAGTAATTTTACCTGTGACGGTAGATTTTTCATCTACAGAAGGAGAATTGTTATCTTCTGTAGGCTTCTTAGTAGTCGAACCTTCATTATAAAGAGGAGAGTTTGAGGTTGTACTTTCGTTTGTTTTATTACCTTCTGAAGAAGTAGTGCTTGATGTTTCCATAGAAGAAGTAGCAGTGATATCTTCTGTACTAACTTTAACTGTTGGAGTAGTCTGAGAATCAGTACTTGATTCTTCAACTTTCTTTTCAGTAACGGTGTCTGTAGAAGATTTGTCACTATTGTTCTTTTCAGTAATTGCTTCTGTGTCTTTGGGACTGGTATTTACATCGTTGGAAGTTTCACTTTCAGAAGTCTGGTCTCGCTTTGTAGTGTTTTCGACAGATTCTTCTGTAGGAATTGGAGTTGTTGATGATTCTGAAGTTGTTCCTTCTCTAATCTTTTCTGTAATAGAAATTGGATTAGAAGTTACATTATCTTCCGTAGACGAAGTTACAGCTTCTTTAGTAGCAGTAGAACTTGAGACAGAAGATTTTGTAGTTGTAATTTTAGTCTTCTGTTCAGTGGTTGATTCTTTTGAAGCTTTCGTTTCTTGCGTAGAAGTGATCACTTCTTTGGAATACTCTTTTGTGGACGTCGTTTTTTCAATTGTATCTTCTGTGCTTCCAGTTTCTTTTGAAGCTCTTTGAACAGGAGTTTGCTTTACAGAAGAATTGGGTGTTGTGGTTGTACCTTCTTTTAGTGCAGTTTCTATTATTTTAGCTGTTGAAATATCTTGTTTACTCTTTTCTTCTGTTGTGTTATTTTGTTTGGGAATGCTATTTGATTCTTCTGTAGTACTTGTAAGAGAAGAGTTATCTTCTGTGACCTCTTCAGATATTTTTGCAGTAGTAGTAGTAGTTCTTTCTATGCGTGGTTTGTTTTTCTTTATATAGTCTATCGCTTGGAGGATGGCTGGAAAAAACGAGAAAATGTATTTACTAAAAATAACGATTTTATCACGTTAATTACGATGGTCACTATACAAAAATTGATATATAGTGTTTTGTTATAAAATTCATATTTGCTGAGATCTAACTTGCGTAGGACATAATAAGGTAGTTTCCAACTAGTCAAATTCAATACTTTTATCCAAATGTCAAAAACTATACTTATCTATGTAATTTGTATGAAAAACTGAGGTATGACGTCATAGTATTTCTGCGTCAAATAGCTTACTTATTTCTTAATAATTTGCTAAAAAATCTAAAGCTTAGTGTATCGATCGATTGATGAATAAAAGTATAGTTATTTTTCAATATTTTATTGTATTGAAACGTCGAACTAATTTATTTTTGACCTAGAAAATTACCCAATTATACCTACAGCGCTAATGTGCTTGCTAATGAATGCAATATTTTCTATTCAATGACATTTGTGATGGCAATTTCAAACGAAACGAAAAGACAGGTTCATCTAACTACACATAGAACACATACCGTTCAGGTAGTAACATATCATCTCAATAGATGGCGCTAAACTATAAATAGGTCAGTTTGTCGGGTATTTGCATATTTGGTTCGGATTATTACGCACGTTTATTAAATTGTTGGTAAGTTCCCTCAACGAATATTAAATCTAAATTAACTAAAAATCGCGGGTTACTAACGTGTGTATATTCATGAGGAAGAACCCCTCTGTGGTTCGAAACTAGTAGAGCTTTTCTCAATATACACACGTGAGTAACCCGCGATTTTTAGTTAATTTAGTATGTCTCACGATAGTTATAATAAAAACATATTAAATCTAATTAAAAAAAAAGGAATTTCGAAGAATCGTGTACTTAATTAGACTTACTTGTTTGTCCAGTTGCCCTTTTCAGGTCTCTTAATGCATCAATGAAATCTGTATAAAAAGGAGAATCACTATTTTAATATTGGCGATTACTTTCGATATTAAAAGTAATTTAATTTTTCAGAATTAATTTAGTGAATCATTCTTTCAAATGTTCTGCATCATCACTTTCGTCGTCATTTTAAAGATTTTAACTGTTGAATGACTAAATCTTTATCTATAAAAATGGATCGCAAAATGTGTTGGTAAGCGCATAACTCAACAACGCCTGGACCAATTTTGCCAATTCTTTTTTTGGTTTTTGTCAGGAGAAGGTTCTTATCAACGAAAATATTAGAAAAGTAGAGGGGAAGATTTGGAAATAGTGACCCATTTGATAGTGAGATAGTTGGACCCGTGCGAAGCGGGGGCCGGCCGCTAGTACTATAATAATAATTCAGTGATTAAATCAAACACAAACAGCTAATAATTCAGATCGGAATCAGAATCTTTAGCCAAATTATTAATTATGCTAGTTGGCTTTAACATATCGATAACTTCTAAAATTACACTCTCAGACACTAAATGTTGTCAATTGATATCTTTGGCTCTTCATTTTAAAAGCCCGAGCCGAGCCCGAGAATTTACGTGCCCTCTAAGGTTTGGCGTCAGGAGTTTCGTCCGCCATATGAATGGCCCAGTCTTGTTTTTTTACTGGGTGATCCGACGTTAGTCTATTGAAAAGTGATACTGGATGACCTGCTGGTACTTCTTTAAGGAGGGTATATCATCAATTGACTTCTCTCGCTTAGGGTAGAGGGAGATATGGAGAGAGGGGGTGTCAGACTCTTACCGCTAAAACCCGCCCCGTTTCTTCTTTTCCTATTACTTTACCTTACGTTTTTATTATTATTATTTTGTGGTATAAGTTGGCAAACGAGCAGACGAATTACCTGATGGTAAGCAATCTGCGCCGACCATGGACACCAAAGGAGCTACGAGTGCGTTGCCGGTCTTTTGGAGATAGGGGTTGCGGATATAAGGATCGGGAAGGGATAGGGAGAGGGGAGGGATTGGGCCTCCCGTAACCTCACTCACATGGCGAAACACAACGCTGTGATTGTTTCACGCCGGTTCGCTCTCCGGTCGAGTCGACCCATTCGTGCCGAAGCTTGGCTCTCCCACACTTGCTTTTTCGCTCATTTCGCTTGCCCCACAGCCCCGGCTGATCCTTCTAGTATAAATTACTTTAGGTAGGTATGAAATATAAAATAATACTCACTATCAGTCAACGTATAGTCTTCAATTATAAAAACGGCTTCTTTCAGATCTGATAAAAAGAAAAAAAAAGACATGATGAGTTTATTGAAATATTTGTACTGGATATACAGGGTGTAAAAAGACACTTAACGAAGCCGTTAACTACGCATACTGCAGTTCTAACTAAGTAGCTTTACGCTAAAATTATCACTGGGAAACGACTTTTATTTTTAGGCATCAAAAATAATAATTTTAGTGCGCGCAGTGTAAAGCAAACGGGCTTCGTGTCATTGTGATAAAACGCTGTGATAAGTACGTAGGTCGACGTTTTACTTCGCAACAACAAAACAATTCTGTAAAATAAAAATCCTACTGAGATGCACGATGTTTTTTGTGTGGGTCTGCATTTATTTATTACGTACATTACTGTTCGTAACTTCAAATGCGTAATTTATTTAGAAAAATCGAAAATTCTGGTAATGTTTGTTTGGAAAAAAGTTTTGTAATAATACTTAGAATTCGATTGCGTAAAAAAAATTAAAAATACATCTTTAACCTTCAATATCTCGAGAACCCGTGGAGTCCCAGCTATGGTCTTAAAGAAAAAAATGATCCAAATAATGGGTAGAATACGTGGTTTTCGGCTTCGTTAAGTCTTGTGTCTTTTTACACCCGGTATATAAAAATTTCGTGTCACGTGTTTGTCCACGATGGACTCCTAAACTACTAAACCGATTTTAAATTTGATTTGCATTCCGTGTGCATTTTGATCCAACTTGAAAGATAGGATAGCTTACATCTCAATTTATAGTCACAATATTATTTTGACAAGAACCTTAGCCACAGCAACGCGTGGCTGGGTCTGCTAGTTTTTATAATAATTTATAAGTCACCATAGATCTGAATCAATGAAAATCTTGGTGCTTGAAAGTAAATATTACAAAGGAAAGTTTGTTAGGTACTTTTAGTCTGTCTGTCGGTCTGTCCTCTAGTGAAGCTGTTTACTCGTCCCAAAGTGTAGATACCAATGGAGAAGAACGAGCAAGAAACTCCATGGTTAGATATTCTTTTTCAATTAAGTTTATTGTTAAGTACATCATTTACAACCGGTTTCCGAAAGGCCGATCAATGTCAAAATCAATTTAATCTCTTGTCAAGTCATCTGATTGGTTGACTGAATTATCAACAACCAATCAGGGGCCCGAGTCTACTATTTTCAAAGTGTTGTCATTCCTACACGATTCCATTGTCATTTTGCTAAAAGTTCGTAATCTGTTAATTCAAAATGGCTGATCATTGGCGTTCGGCGATGTCGTAATAGAATTATAGTACGAGATGTCTTGTAACGAATTATAAACAATAACCGCACATTAATATTCTAAACGTGAATCATTGAATAAAGGAACTGTCATTTTTTTATTAATTTACCTCATTATGTCAAATATTCATTTGTCATTATGTACGAGATTACCGTTCTAAAGAATTATTTCAATGAAGTGACATCGGTTGATCATTGGAAAGTCATAATGACACTATCGTGTTAGTAGATTACCAAACTTGTCTAAATCAACAATTTTGAAACCAATGATCTACTATTCTGACACTATTGTAATAGCAGACTCGAGGCCCAGAGATTTGACACCTACCTAGTTGATTTTAACATTGATCGGGCTTTCGGAAGCCGGGCATTAGTAGTTTCTATTAAAAGAGTTCAGTATTATACTAAAATTTGTTTAAAGAATCTAAAAAAAAAAAAGAAAAAAGAACATCAAATTGATTGTTGGTAGGTAAATACTCACAGAGAGCCTTGCTGATCGTAATGATGTTTTCAAAGAACTGGACGATATCTGAAAGCAATATATATTAATTACAAATTCTGCTTCTAATAAAAACGAGTTCAAACAAATATGCAATTCACAACACACATCATAATAAGCCTATAAGTACCCACTGCTGGACACAGGCCTCTCAAATTGCACGCCACTGAACTCGATGTTCAGCTCTTTCCATCCAACCACTGTCCCTCACACATCATCAGCCTATAAGTGCCCACTGATGAGCAAAGGCCTCTTCTCACACGAAGAAGGTTTGAGCATTAACCACCACGCTTGCTCAAGGTGGTTCGGCGATTTCAAACTTACAATTAGAATTTTATTATAAGTCCAAGTTTCTATCACGATGTTTACCTTCACCGTATGTCAGTGGTGTCTAAATACCTAATCATAGAAAGTACATATAACTCGGAAAAAGTCACATTGGTACTTGCCAGGTTTCGAAATCGCACCCTCATATATGAGAAGCGGGTGTTTTAAACTAACTTAGCTATCTGAATTGTAATGATTTGTAGTGGACAAAAACATATAAACTAGAGACTTACCCATTTCAGTAATTTCAAATATCAGCTGTATAATGTCGAATAATTCTGAAAATTAAATAAAATACATTTTTATTTAGCCAGCATTTCGTCTCCAGAGATATAAATAAACGTCCAGGGTTGTGGATAATGTGGAAAAGCAATACTGTACAGTGTAGCGACATCTATCGCACACACGCAGTAATCTGAGAACAATAATCAACAGATGGCGCAACAGATTCTACATCGCGGTATAAGAGTTCTCATTGCAATTAGAACCGATAGAAAAATCCCGACAACAACAGTCGGGCAGTAGCCCACCAGACATGACACCCGTCTGGTCGGAGGTTCCTCCCTTTTCAATGAAGGATGAGGATCTTTTCACCCTGTTCTTCTCATACCTCTTAAACAGCGGTCCAGGATAAGGAACAGGGTGTTTTTAATCATCTCTCGGCGTGGTAGGGCCAGAAGTCATTGGATGATTTGCCTCCAAACGCCAAAGGTTTACGGCTGGTATTTTTTGAGCCTTATTCTTAAGTATAGTATGGGGGCAGCCAGCTCCCATACATTGCACACATTTCCGGATTCCATGCCATTATCGAATAAAAAAATTACATATAACTCGAAAAAAGTCACATTGGTACTTGCCAGGTTTCAAACCCACATCCTCATGCATGAGAAGCGGGCTCCGGCCACTAAGACACTAGTCTAATTCAAAATTTGCAATTAATTGACAAAAACTATACTTCTAACTAGGTAATATAGGTATGAAAACTATGAATTTAGTTTGAAATCACAAAATATGACGTCATAATGTTTGTGACGTCATAACTTCAGAAAATCTTATCCTCAGGGTGTATATGAAAGGCGCCAATTGCTTACTGACAGAAAAAACATAATGCAAAATCGATCACACAAAAAAATTAAAACTCACCATCAACGCCACCGATCTTCTTAAGGATGGAGGCGGCAACTCGAATGTTAGTAGCGTTGGTAACTCGAATTATCGTTTCCAGAAATATAATTACTTCTTCTGCTGTGTATTTGTAAACTTCGTCGAAGAATAGAAATATATCTGAAAGGAGAATCGAATTTAAAACCACCTTTTCAATTATGAATGGATTAATGCTATATGTGTATTTTTATCGTAAAATACATAATGACCGTTTGAATGAGGTTACCAGACGCAAAATCCTTTCCCCTACCCCCAATCTCCAAATCCCTGATCGTCATATGCTTAACAAACTACAAAAGACTGGCAACGCACTTATAAATCCTTGAGTGTAATATGGCGCCGATTGCTTACCATCAGGTCCAGCCTGGTCGTTTGAAAATATGATAATACGGTAGTTTCCAACTAGTCAAATTCAATACTTTTATCCAAACGCAAACGTCAAAAACGATACTTTTCTATGAAATTTGTATGAAAAACTGAGCTATGACATAACATTTTTGCGTCAAATAGCTTACTTATTTCATAATAATTAGCTAAAAAAATCTAAAACTTAGGGTATCGATCGATCGATCGATCGATGAATAAAAGTACTTATAGTTATTTTTCAATATGTTATTGTATTGAAACGTCGAATTAATTTATTTTTGACCTAGGAAACTACTCAATTATAACTGTCGAAATTACCTTCAATAGATGTCACTGCAGCGATAACTTGCCACGCTTCTTGGATAGCTGAAAAAAAAACAATAGAAATTTAAATCTTATAATCATAAGTGCCCACTGCTGAGCAAAGGCCTCTTCTCACACGGAGAAGGTTTGAGCATTAATTACTACGCCTGCTTAAGGCAGATTGGCGATTTCAAACTTATAATTACAAATTATAAGTCCAGGTTTCCACACGATGTTTCCCTTCACCGTATGTCAGTGGTGTCTAAACAATCATAGAAAGTACATATAACTCGGAAAAGGTCACATTGGTACTTGTCAGGTTTCGAACACTAATGCATGAGAAGCAAGTTTGAATATTTTTTTTTATAAAAATACTAATAAAAACTAAATACATATTTTGAATTTCACTAATTTTTGCTAAATTAATTTTGGTGAAAGATTAAGGGCTAATTTTTCAATGGTTACATAAAAGTTACCTGGGAAATAATTATGATGCTGTCGCGTCAGAATGTTTGAATAAGACAGCGACAGAAACAATTTTATTCCTCAGATAACATTTATCTGACTATTGAAAATTCAGCCCTAAGTAAAAATATAAGTTAAATTCATATTATAAATACTCACATTTAGTCCCAGTAATAGACATAAGTCTTTTGAAAAAGTCTATAACATCGTCGTGGCCCGAGTTAACACGGATTAGCTCCAAAAAGTCCAATAAGTTTACTGCAAATATAAAAATGTCATGTAAAGAGATTGTCCAGTCAACTGATGGTAGCGGTGACTGTCCAGGCGACACACGTACTTAGGTATCGTCATGAGCTAATGTTCACATGTAAACAGCAGCTCATGTAGATTTAAAAATATAGAAATATAGCTATGTTAATGTAAAATTTACTTACTCTCTTTAGAAGTAAGACTCAAAATGAATTTGGAAGCTTCCTTAATGTTTTTTGTTTGGGTGACGTCCAGAAGAGAGTATAAGAAGTAGAGTGCGTCCTGCTGTTTCGTTACTTTATTTATTTTATGTATTATATTGACAATATCTGAAATAAAAAAATATAGATTAAGTGTGGGAGAGCCAAGCTTCGGCACGAAAGAGTCGGGTCAACCGAAGGCGGAACTACGGCCTCACAGAAAACCGGCGTGAAACAACCACAGCGTTGTGTTTCGCCGTGTGAGTGAAGTTCTTCCGCTACCACAATCCCTCCCCATTCCTAAAATCTCCAAATCCCTAATCCCCAAAAGGTCGGCAACGCACTCGTATATATACAGGGTGTAAAAAGACACAACGAAGCGGTAAACTACGCATACTGCAGTGCTAACTAAGTAGCTTTACGCTAAAATTATCACTGAGAAACGACATTTATTTTTAGGTATCAAAAAAAAATATATATTGCGCGCAATGTAAAGCAAACGGGCTTCGTGTCATTGTGTGCGTAGGTTCACAGCTTAGCATTAAAACGCTATGATAAGTACGTAGGTCGACGTTTTACTTCGCAACAACAAAACAATTCTGTAAAATAAAAATCCTACTGAAATGCACGATGTTTTTTGTGCGGGTCTGCATTTATTTATTACGTACATTACTGTTCGTAACTTCAAATGTGTAATTTATTTAGAAATATCGAAAATCCAGGTAATGTTTGTTTGGAAAAAAGTTTAGTAATGATACTTAGAATTCGATTGCGCAACAAAAAATAAAAATAAAAATGCATCTTTGACATTCAATATCTCGAGAACCCGTGGAGTCCCAGCTATGGTCTTAAAGAAAAAAATTATCCAAATAATGGGTAGAATACGTGGCTTTCGGCTTCGTTAAGTGTCTTTTTACACGCTGTATACAGGTTTGTTCTTACAAAAGGGGTCCCGACATGAAAAATGTTGAGAAACACAGTCCTCTAGTTAAGAGTAGGTATTTTTATACTTTACTAGCTACTCTCGCGCGGTTTCACCCGCTGCTCGGATCCATTTGATCGTAGCGTTATGTTTTATAGCCTATAGCTCTCGTAGAACATTGTAGCTATTTAACAGTGAAAGAATTTTGACAATCCGACCAGCGGTTCCAAAGATTACCCCCTACATACAAATTTACAAATTACAAATACAGATTTCAGTGAGTAATTGAATAAATTATGAGTAAGTGAGTGAGTCAGTGAGTGTGTCAGTGATTGAGTGAGTGAGTGAGTGAGCGAGTGAGCGAAAGAGGTAAAATTTACCTCTTTGTAATATTAGTATAGATGTGTTAACTTACTGTCCGTTTCGAAAGCGTCTTTGAAGGCAGCTTGCACTTCCAATAGATTGTCGCTACCTCCGATCTTATGTAGATTCTCAATTATGACTTTCAAATCTAAAAAACACATAATTGGTAGATTAACACCCGATTTCTGAAAGGCTTGTCAACGCTAAAATTACCTAATCTCCTGTTAAATCTCTTGTCAAGTCATCTGATGGGTTGTTGATAATTCAGTCAACCAATCAGATGACTTGACAAGAGATTAAATTGATTTTAACATTGATCGGCCTTTCGGAAACCGGGTGTTATAAAATAACACATAAAAAGTCTTACGTTAAAAGAAAGACGTCATGTATGAGAGCCAGGCTTGAACGGAGTGATACCACGGCATTACAGTATATCATCATCATCATCATCAGCCTATAAGCGCCCACTGCTGAGCAAAGGCCTCTTCTCACACAGAGAAGGTTAGAGCATTAAGCACCACGCTTGCTCAAGGCGGGTTGGCGATTTCAAACTTATAATTATTAGAACTTACAAGTCCAGGTTTCCTCACGATGTTTACCTTCACCGTATGTCAGTGGTGTCTAAATAATCATAGAAAGTACATATAACAAGGAAAAAGTCACATTGGTACTTGCCACGTCTTGACACGCACCTACATGCATGAGAATCGGGCGCCTTAACTTTCGGGCCATGACGACACTTTACAGTATAAACGGCATGAAACAACGCCTCGTGAGGTTACCAGAGGCCCAATCTACCCTCCTACCAAAGCCTTTTTTGTAAGGTGAATAAATCATTAGACGACTTCTCCCGCCCAGGAGGAAGTGAGAGGGGAATGTCAGACTCTTACTGACTAAACAGCACCGTTCCTTAGGTCGCGGTGCCTCATTGCGCTTACCCCGCAACCCCGGCTGAACATCAGCCCTATAGGGCCCCGTCTGTGGTGGTCTATTGGCTCTTTGAGGCGCGCGCGGAACGCTACGCGCCGTACGCTTGGGCTCCTTTCAAAGGCTGCAACGCATTTTGACTCCAAGTCCATGGACGGCGCCGATGGCTTACCATCGGGTGATTCGTCTGTTCCTATGCTGAACCAATCCATAAAAAGAAAAGCTACAAATCAGGATCAGTAACTTACTTCCTCTATTAACCGCTTGTGTCAATTCTTCTATAGCATATTTAGTTTCTGTAAAATAATAGAAAATTTTAATGAAATGCATAAAAAACTATTGAAATGACAATATATTTTAAGGTCGGGCAAATTAAAAACAGCACTGTGATTCTGTAAGACTGCATTCTAAACTTCGAATCTGAATCCGCTGTGAGTAGCAGTACACTAGCGCTACACTTGCGAGTTGAACTAAATTGACAGCAACATTTTGATAGATACAGTATGAGGTGACGTTAAAAGTGGCATTTTACAGTGAAATTTCCCCGTCACTTCGACGCTCACTTCACACTCGAACAAGATTCAAAACCAAACAAATTTTATAGAATCGACGTACTGGCATTCATTCATCAGCGTTTGTGGGAGAGCCATGCTTCGGCACGAATGGGTCGGCTCGACCGGAGTGATACCACGGCCTCACAGAAAATTGGCGTGAAACAACCACAGCGTTGTAATTTGCCGTGTGAGTGAGGATATAGAGTAAATTTCATGCTCTCGAATTAGGATCGACGTTTAAAATTCCTTAATTACTGTCTTAACCCTTACTGACTAAAAATCCTTCCGTTATTTCTCTCGTGTTTCAGACTGAGTCGTGGTTCATTGTTGTCCTCGCCTTTTACTCATTTTACTCTAAGGGTCACAGATCATTAGAGCCACCCTGTACCGCCAAGTAGTCCACGGGTCGACCTTGCGAAGTCAACGAGAACGCCGAGGGGTTTACGACGGGACACCGGTTGATCCAAAAATTTTCGAGTAGTCTGTTAATAATTGGTACTAGGGCAGCGCTCGGTTCACTCAAGACCCGCGCATTAACAACGCCCTGACAACGCAAGACAAGCATTCGAGTTGTCACCGAACGGTCCACTCGATGTCCGCGCGTGAATGGCTTAAAACCGAGGCGATCTGGTGACGATGGGATTTGATGTAGTGAGCGCATGCCTATGCAAGGCCTTATAAAGAATACTAGTTGAAGGAGGAAAGTTCGGAGCTGTGACCTCAAGACTTAACCAGGAGACTCCAATGCTTGCAAAGAAACCTTGTATCTATCCAACGACCCTAAAAAATTACGGAAGAAAAAAAAATGAAGATCGGCGTTTTGTCATCAGGATGATGATCAATGATGATGATGCTGATGATTTAGAATAACTTACGCGTCTGCTTAGTGATGGACTTCAGCATAACTAAACTGTCAGTCAGCGATTTGGTGTTAAGCAAATTATTTAGAGCCGGAATAGCCTCGCCGATGTCTGTGAAATGATTTTAAAATAGGATTAAGTATAACTTAAAAAATACACGCTAACTTCATCAGCTTATAAGTGCCCACTGCTGAGCAAAGGCCTCTTCACACACGGAGAAGGATTGAGCATTAACCACTACACTTGCTCATGACGGATTGGCGATTTTAAACTTATAATTTGAGATTATAAGTCCAGGTTTTGTGACGATGTTTGTTCCAGTTGTCAGTGGTGTCTAAATAATCATAGAAAGTACGTAAAACTCGGAAAAAGTCACATTGGTACTTGCCAGTTATGACTAAAACCGTCGATCATCAAAAACGGGCGCCATAAAACATCACTAGCGCCATCTAGTGTGTGAGAAATTGAAAACTTTCTTTAAAACAACTCACCCACAGTTCGCGTTCCCAATAGAAGAAGGTTGAAGGCTCCTTTCAGGTCTGAAAAATGCGATAAAATATTTAATTAAAGACGTATCTATACTAATATTATAAAATTTGTAAGTTTGTATGTAGGGGGTAATCTTTAAACCGGTGCTAGGATTGCCAAAATTCTTTCACTGGTAGATAGCTACAATGTTCCTGAGTGCTATAGGCTATAAAACATCATGTTACGATCAAATGGAGCCGAGCAGCGGGTGAAACCGCGCGAGAGTAGCTAGTGTAATATATATAAAAGAATCCCAATTTCCGCTGGTCATAGCATCACGCGTGTACGGCTAGACCAATTCCGTGTTTGATTAGATGAAGAAAAGCTTCTTATAAAAGAAAATATAAACAAATGACTGACACCAAGGTGGCTGGACATCCATGCGAAACGGACCGAAAATAATAACTTTTTCAGAAATATATCCTTGTAAAATCAACATATACATAGAAATCAATGCTTTATAACTGAATAGCCGCCCCGGCTTCGCACGGGTGCAGTTGTGATACTAAATTCTTCCACTATTTAATAGATGTTATTATACATATAAACAATCCTCTACAATCACTCTATATTTAAAAAAACATCTAACATATTCGCTTTAGAGATTTAAGCGTACATAGGGATATAAGGACAGAGAAAGCGACTTTGTTTTATACTATGTAGTGATTAACACGAGCGAAGTCGCGGTCGGAAGCTAGTCTTACCTATTTCAGGTAGCAGAACCTTTAATAGCCTAGGGAATTCAGCTGGCCCGAGGCCACTAGTCAGTTTCAGTATTTCCATTTTCAGACCCTCCACACCTGAAAGACGAATGAAAATCGTTATAAGAGCCCAAAAGTCATTTTTTTTATTAAACGTTGCCCCGCTTGTATTTTCTCCTGTGTTGTGGTCGCGTTTACAAACATACAATTTCACATACATTTACACTCAGACACGGGACCATCGTGGGAGAGCCATGCTTCGGCACGAATGGGTCGGCTCGACCGGAGCGATACCACGGCCTCACAGAATACCGGCGTGAAACAACCACGGCGTTGTGTTTCGCCGTGTGATCCTTACAGTGTAAGTTAGGTATAATACGTGTGAGTTATAATATCAATAAATATTTATTTTTCTTTTTATAAGTAACAAAATTATCCTTACCACTTGTATGAGCGATGTGCGCGAAATGATCAGCTATTTCATGTGGATCTGAAAGTTTAATAAAATATAAAAAAGACAGCCAAAAAATTAAAAAATCATTTATTCCAATTAGACCCCTACAGGCACTTTTGAACGTCAAACAAAATTTTGAAGATATAGTATCAGTCTGTCGGTCAGTCCTCTTAGTGAAGCTATTTGCTCGTTCCAAAGTGTAGATTCCGATGGAGAAGAACGAGCAAAAAACTCCACGGTTACTCTTTTTAAATCTATGCATATGAGCAATATATCTGAGAATGGGTCGGTTCGACCGGAGTGATACCACGGCCTCACAGAAAACCGGCGTAAAGCAACACTAACGTTGTGTTTCGTCGTGTGAGTGAGGTTACCGGAGGCCCAATCATTTCGACCTCCCCCATCCACAATCCTCAAATCCCCTATCCTTAAATCCCTAATAACTCACAAAAGGCCGGCAACGCACTTGTAGTGACTCCTTTGGTACTACGAGTGTCCATGGGCGGCGCTGATTGCTTACCATCAGGTAATCCGTCAGTCCGTTTGTTTATTTATTTGAGTCCATGTAAAACGTACCTCTTTCTCCGGATATCTTCTGTAAACTTTCCAAAATTCCATCGAAGTCCTCATGTCCAATCAGTGGTTTCATTATGGAGAACGCTTTTAGGACATCTGAAATTAATATTGCAGCATTAAAAACATTGTAAGGTCGTACATCAAACTTGACCTAAGTAGGTAGTTTTAGTGGAACGTTTATGTTAAGTTATAAAACTCAACTTTCCCAAAACAACTTCTTTTCTATACATATATTCATTATTCGTAGGCTGCGCGACGTCGCCGCGTCCGCTCACGCTGCTCATGATGAAGAACCCCTCTGTGGTTCGAAACTAGTAGAGCTTTTCTCAATATATACACGTGAGTAACCGAGATTTTTAGTTAATATATTCATTAGTTTTATTTTTAATACTTTATCAAAGTCGCCCTGCGTGCGTCGCCCGTCAGCTGTTATAGGCGAGGACCCTTGTCTCTTAAATCCACCTCGGGCAAGGCGAATTGACTATTTCAAACTTACAATTACAAATTATAACTCGAGGTTTCATCACGATGTTTACCTTCACCGTGTGTCAGTGGTGTCTAAATAATCATAGAAAGTACATATAACTCGGAAAAAGTCACATTGGCACTTGCAGGTTTTGGACCTGCACGCTCATGCATGAGAAGCGGGCTCCTTAACCTCCGGGCCACCATGACATGACATTAGTCAAGTAATTATATGAATGTCAAATTCTACTTACCATCCTCATTGGTCATCTGTTTTAAAATCTCAACAATCGTCTTCAGAACTGAAAAATAACAATGAAGAAAAACGTTTTATTTTTAAACGCGTGGATTTAAGTGTGGGAGAGCCATGCTTCGGCACGAATGGGTCGGCTCGGCCGGAGTGATACCACGGCCTCACAGAAGACCGGCGTGAAACAACCATAGCGTTGTGTTTCGCCGTGTGAGTGAGGTTACTGGAGGCCCAATCCTTCCCCGCCCCCAATCCCTAAATCTCCAAATCCCTAAAAGGTCGACAACGTACTCGTAACTCGTCCGTTGTGGGTGTCCATGGGCGGCGCTGATTGCTTACCATCAGGTAATCCGTCTGCTCGTTTGCCGACCAATTACATAAAAAAAATAAAAATTAAAAAAACTATTATTCATGTTATCATGTTGGTAGCACTGTTTCTCTCTCTCTCTCTCTCTCTCTCTCTCTCTCTCTCTCTCTCTCTCTCTCTCTCTCTCTCTCTCTCTCTCTCTCTCTCTCTCTCTCTCTCTCTCTCTCTCTCTCTCTCTCTCTCTCTCTCTCTCTCACTGTGTGTGTGTGTGTGTGTGTGTGTGTGTGTGTGTGTGTGTGTGTGTGTGTGTGTGTGTGTGTGTGTGTGTGTGTGTGTGTGTGTGTGTGTTTGTGTGTGTGTGACACTTCCTAAGAAAGGAATCTTGTAAGGGTTAGTATGGAAACCATTGCCAGCGAAGTATACGCAGAATCTTATATTGTGCCATTTTCTCAGAATTTCTGTCAATAAGAGACAGGTAGATCTGCAATAATATTCAACTTATATATATGCTTATATATAAATGGATCGCAAAATGTGTTGGTAAGCGCTTAACTCAACAACGTCTGGACCAATTTTGCTAATTCTTTTTTTGTTGTGTTTGTTATAGTCAGGAGAAGGTTCTTATCGAAGAAAATGTTAGAAAAGTAAAGGGCAATAGCGGTAATTAACAACCCTTTCGACGCCGTGGCCGTTCGCTTGCAAAACAAATGACTGACACCAGGGAAGTCGGGTACCCGTGCGAAGCAGGGGCGGTCTTCTAGTATTCAATATTTTTCGTTCAGTAAAGGGTTACCATTTGGCCGCTATCACGCCTGTTGGTAGGCGATGATGCGACCTACAATGGAGCACGACTAACTATAAGCAAATGCAAGACTCAAACTTTTTTTAAAAAAAAGACGTTGCCTTACACTAGGATTTTACTCCTGTGTCGTGGGTGCGTTTACAAACATACAATTTCACATGCACATCACACCCAGACCCGGAACAACAATCTGTAGATCACACAAAAAGTTGTTCCGTGCGGGAATCGAACCCGCGACACGTTGCGCGGCAGCCAGTTGCCCAGCTACCGCGCCAACTGTGCAGACAGTTTGATTATAGGTGTCATTACGTGCCTAATTGCCGTGGGATTAGAGCCACTTTATGAGGAAGTGTGTTGAAAAATATATTCATGAGATTGTAGCCACTTTGTGACATAGTGTGTTGAAAAATATATTATTATTATTATATTTCATTACTTACCAGGTGCATCATCCATTAGCTCAACAAAGTCAACGACTCGATGCCAAGACCGGGAACCCTTGCTTTTCTTTAGGAATTTCAATATTTTCTTCTCATCTATTCATGAAAAAAATAATCGATGTAGAGTTTAGAAATACGCGAAATTGAAAAATAACATTTCTTTAAGAATTTCAAAATTTTCTTGTCATCTATTCATGAAAAAAATAATCGATGTAGAGTTCAGAAATACGCGAATTTGAAAAATAAATATTTTGCACCACACTAGAATTATTCCGGTTATAGAATAAAAAAAGTGAACAGGTTCGTGAACGGGCGCCGTCGGTTGGGATTGCTCAGCTCCAGACTGTCTATTGTCCTTAAGGTTACTTTCTTTTTATATTTGAATAAATATTAGTGTTACACTGTTCTCACATAATTGAACTAACTCTTTGTAAAAGGAATCTGTATGTGAAACTGATTTAAAAAGATTAACCATGGAGTTTCTTGCTCGTTTTCTCCATCGGAATCTACACTTTGGGACGAGCTAATAGCTTCACTAAGAGAACTGACCGACAGAGTGACGCTATATATCTTCAAAATTTTGTTTGACGTTCAAAAGTGCCTGTAAGGGTCTCATTGGAATAAATGTTTTTTTTTTAATTTGAAAGAATAACAAAAATACGCCTCAAATTAATTTATTCTCCCTCCTTCCCATTATTCAAAACCCCCAAAAAGGTAGTAAAGCACTGGTAGTCGGCTCGGCCGGAGTGATACCACGGCCTCACAGAAAACCGGCGTGAAACAACCACAGCGTTGTGTTTCGCCGTGTGAGTGAGGTTACCGGAGGCCCAATCCTTCCCCTCCCTCAATCCCTAAATCTCCAAATCCCTAATCCCTAAAAGGTCGGCAACGCACTTGTAACTTCTCCGTTGCGGGTGTCCAGGGGCGGCGCTGATTGCTTACCATCAGGTAATCCGTCCTGTAATAGCAAATAAGTATGTCGCATATGGCCCATAAAAGACTGGTCTTCTCTCCATCACACGTCTACCCCAATGGTCATCGGTTCTGGTATATGGCTATTGTGTCAATTTCACAAAATTTAATAAAGTCTTTCCTACCTTTAAGTCCTGTTAGATTTTCAATGTATTTCATCGCTGAGGCTTCATCTGAAATTAATAATTAATATTTAATCTAGTAACACCATTCATATCAAAATGTGTCTTATATATCTTCATTGTTTTGTAGCACATCATCAGCTTATAAGTGCCCACTGATGAGCAAAGGCCTCTTCTCACACGCAGAAAGTTTGAGCATTAACCACCACGCTCGCTCAAGGCGGATTGGCGATTTCAAACTTATAATTACAAATTATAAGTCCAGGTTTCTTTACGATGTTTTCCTTCACCGTATGTCAGTGGTGTCTAAATAATCATAGAAAGTACATATAACTTGGAAAAAGTCACATTGGTACTTGCCAGGTTTCGGGTTCTTAAAGTAAAGTAAAGTAATCTTTATTGTGTTGGTTACAGGTGTTATACATATTTATAGTGGTATACAGTACAACAATCAGCCCGTTTGGGCATACAATAATCAAGGCCCATTTGGGCTGGTACATTATTAATTAAAACAAAATTACAAGTAAACAACAAAAATTATATGTATAAAAGTTATTATTAAATATTAGAAGTTTGATATTATTTATGACATCTAAAAAACCTGATACACATTACTTATTTTCTAAAAAATCCTTAATTAATGTCCATGTAACATTAATGTCCAAGTTAAACAACCTCGTACTTGTTTAATTGACTTGACGACACGGATAAAAAATATTTGCTAATTTTAATAGTCTGTCATATCTAATTCCTTCGTGCTATTGTGATTAACAATTTGGAAAACAGCTTGAAAATACTGAATACTTTATACTTTTGAACCCAACTCTTGTTTGTTCACGAGCGACGGAATATTTTTTTTGTAAGTAACCTAATTCCTATTGAACTACCTACCAATATTCTTGTAGGTATATCTTTGCCAAACACAAGATTTTTGGAGATTAGGGTTTCGAAGATTTAGGGATCAGGGGAGAGGAAAAAGAATTTAAGTGTAAAGTAATTTTTTTAAGTGTGGGAGAGCCATGCTTCGGCACGAATGGGTCGGCTCGACCGGAGTGATACCACGGCCTCACAGAAAACCGGCGTGAAATAACCACTGCGTTGTGTTTCGCCGTGTGAGTGAGGTTACCGGAGGCCCAATCCTTCCCCTTCCCCAGTCCCTCCTCAATCTTTAAATCTCCAAATCCCTAATCACTAAAAGGTCGGCAACGCACTCGTAACTCCTCCGTTGCGAGTGTCCATGGGCGGCGCTGATTGCTTACCATCAGGTAATCCGTCTGCTCGTTTGCCGACCTATTTCATAAAAAAAAAGAAAAAAAAGAATTGGGCGTCTGGTAACGCTGTGGTTGTTCCACACCGGTTTTCTGTAAGGCCGTAGTATCGTTCCGGTCGGGCTGAAACATAGGTCTCCCAGAATTTTTGCCAACATAACAAATTTTTTATAGAATGTAACTAAGTATAGGTACATAACTTGTTCATTTTTATATTCCTACCTAACGTTTATGGATGCTTTGTCCAAAATGATTATGACGTATCGAGGTTACTCACTGTATTAACACACTTGAATAAATATTTGTGAAATATAATCTACTTACTTGGATTTTTAATGTACAGAAACTATGTACGTATGTAAGAAAGGAAAAATATTTATTTGCACCGCAAAAATTAATAACAGACAAATTAGGTACAACTTATATGGAGAGTATGCACGGCGCAAAAAGGCCAAGTGCTAAGCTAAAATGCCATGACCCGAGAGTATAACTCGCGTCGCGGCGCTGATTTTAAGCACTAGCCCGTCACTATAATATAAAAATTAGATATATTATATGAGAGTACATAATAATTCTTATTCTTTGAGTGTAATGTATGTTTTTTTTATGGAAATACTACCTAGTTTTTACCCGCAGTTTCACTCCCGTCATTTGAATTTGACTAAGTGTGGGAGAACCATGCTTCGGCACGAATGGGTCGGCTCGACCGGAGTGATACCACGGCCTTACAGTACACCGGCACGAAACAATCACAGCGTTGAGTTCCACTGTGTGATTGAGGTTGACGGAGGCCTAATCCTAACCCTTAAATCCTCTATCCGTAAATCCCTTGTAGCGACATCTATCGCACAACATTAACAACAACTAATCACGTGCAAGATTCTACATCGCGGTATAAGAGTTCTCAACGCAATTAGAACCGATACAAAAATCCCGACAACAACCGTCGGACAGTAGCCCACCAGACATAACACCCGTCTGGTCGGAGAATCCTCCCTTTTCAATGGAGGATGAGGAATTTTCCACCCTGTTCCTCATACCTCTAAACCCTAATCGGATCTCTTTATTAAGAAAAAATCTGTTACTAGTAGAAATAGTAGATACCCTAATAAATTATTTGTACCGAGCCAACGCACAACATTATAAAGGAGAAACTCATATTGCATGGCTATCAAAATTTACAATAAACTTCCAAATGACCTAAAAAATCTTAACCTAATGTCTTTTAAAAGAAAATTGTTTGAGTTTTTGCTAAATAAATGTTATTATTGCACTTAAGATTATTTAGATGACCTATCATAGACTTAGAATAAGTAGTGCATAGTTATAACTAGATATTAAGCGAAATAATTTGTACACCAATTCGGTAGAATGTGTGAGATTCCATACACATAACACAAACACCTATATTTGTACTACATTCTCACAAATAAATATTTTCTTTCTTTCTTTCTTTCTTTCTTTCTTTCTTTCTTTCTTTCTTTCTTTCTTTCTTTCTTTCTTTCTTTCTTTCTTTCTTTCTTTCTTTCTTTCTTTCTTTCTTTCTTTCTTTCTTTCTTTCTTTCTTTCTTTCTTTCTTATAACCTACAAGAGGTCGGCAACGCATTTGTAGTAACTCCTTTGATACTATGAGAGTCCATGTTGGCATTACTTAACATCAGGTAATCCGTCCGCTCGTTTGCCGAGTTATCAAATAAAAATCGCAACTGCTCAAAGGCTGGCTCATCATCATCATCAGCCTATAATTGCCCACTGCTGAGCAAAGGCCTCTTCTCACACGGAGAAGGTTTGAGCATTAATCACTACGCTTGCTCAATGCGGGTTGGCGATTTCAAACTTATAATTAGAAATTATAAGTCCAGGTTTCCTTACGATGTTTACCTTCACCGTATGTCAGTGGTGTCTAAATAATCCTAGAAAGTACATATAACTCGGATAAAGTCACATTGGTACTTGCCAGGTTTCGAACTCACACCCTAATGCATGAGAAGCGGGCTCCTCAACCTCCGGGCCACCACGACTAAGGCTGGCTACGCACTTGTAATTCCTCTGGTGTTGCTTGTGTCCATGGGCGGCGCTGATTGCTTACCATCAGGTAAGCCGTCTGCTTATTTACCGACCTATTTACCTAAACTACAACAATAGATCGCGATAAATTGCGTACGAACAACAATTACAAAATTTAAGAACAATAGGCGCGCGGACGTTCGCTTGGGATTTGATAAATTAAATAAAGGTAAGTTTTTAAATTTTTATACTGAACATACCGTGGAATCCAGTTAATTGGTACAGGAGGTCGCTGGCGTCATTTTGATCTGAAAAAGAAAGATTAGTTTGAAATATTTTTTATTTATTACCCAAAAGGAGGGTTATGCTTTTGACACACTGCACGGTTGGCGCGGTGGCTGGGCAACTGGCTGCCGCGCAACGTGTCGCGGGATCGATTCCCGCACGGAACAACTCTTTGTGGTATCCACAGATTGTTGTTCCGGGTCTGGGTGTGATGTGGCATGTGAAATTGTATGTTTGTAAACGCACCCACGATACAGGAGAAAATACTAGTGTGGGGCAACGTTTTTTATTTAAAAAAAAATAAAAAGACTATGTATGAAACATTGAAACAACGAAAATCAAAATCCGTTGCGTAGTTTTAAAGATTTAAAAATAAATAGGGATAGAGAAAGCGAAGCGACGAGTAATGTATGGTGTATACATATAGATGGTAAAATGGTTTTTAAAACTTACTTTTGACTCCTAATACATTTAGTAATCCGCTGGAGATGGGTTCGGAGTCCGCATCTGAAATAATTATTACATTGTCAGATCAGACTTCGAATCTGAATCCGCTGTGAGTACACTAGCGCTACACTAGCGAGTTGAACTAAATTGACCACAACATTTTGATAGATAAAGTATGAGATGACGTTAAGTGGCATTCTATAATGTATTTCCCCGTCACTTTGACGCTCACTTCGCACTCGAACAAGATTCAAAATTAAACTTTATAGAATCGGCAGAATCGACGTAAAAGTTTGGGCATTAACCACCATGCTCGCTCAAGAAGGATTGGCGATTTCAAACATATAATTAGAAATTATAAGTCCCGTTTTTCCTCACGATGTTTACCTTCACCGTTTGTCAGTGGTGTCTAAATAATCATTGAAAGTACATATAACTCGGCAACTCGGCAAAATGGGTACTTGTCAGGTTTGTAAACCTTAATGCATGTGTAGCTGGCGCTTTATGAACCAACTGTTTGTAAAAGGAATCTGTTTATGAAACTGATTTAAAAAGAGTAACCATGGAGTTTCTTGCTCATGGAGCTTCTTGTTCTTCTCCATCGGAATCTACACTTTGGAACGAGCAAATAGCTTCACTAAGAGGACTGACCGACAGACTGACACCATATCTTTAAAATTTTGTTTGACGTTCAAAACTGCCTGTAAAGGTCTAATTGGAATAAATGATTTTTGACTAACCTCCAAGCCACCACAAAAATCATTAATTTCAAGTAAACCACAAAGAAAAATGTCTTTTGAAATCTCTAAACAGAATAATAATCTGTCAGTCTTCGTCAGTGAAGCTAGATGCTCCGTTGCTAGAACTCTGCTAATCAAATCATTCTTCTCGTACCATCAGTTCTTCTGTCGCGTTCTTTTCTGCCACTGTAATCGCTGCTGTCATCTTCTGAGCTGATCTCTTCTTCAGAAGACTTCCTGCCTCTTCTGTGATAGTGATGACTATCTCCATCATCTGTTGAAGAGAGAAGAATAGAAAAACTCATGCCTTTTTCCGAAGACACAAAGGAACTACAGACCGCTTCTTTGCTCTTTACGTATGTGTGGGAGAGCCATGCTTCGGTACGAATGGGTCGGCTCGACCGGAGTGATACCACGGACTCACAGAATTCCATCGTGGAACTACCACAGCGTTGTGTTTCGCTGCGTAAGTGAGGTTACTGGAGGCCCAATACTTCCCCCCTCCATTCTTAATCTTCAAATCCCCTATCTTTGAATCCCTAATAACCCACAAATGGCCGGCACCGCACTTGTAGTAACTCCTTTTGTATTACGAGTGTCCATGGGCGACGCTGATTGCTTACCATCAGGTAATCCGTCTGCTCGTTTGCCGAAGTATGACACAAGAAAATCGACATATAAAGGCCTACAGCGTTCTATTTCGCCTTGTGAGTGATGTTGGGCTCTGAAAAAGACGGATGAAAAGCGATTGCATGTAGCAGAGATGAGAATGTTGAGATGGATGTGTGGTGTGACGAGAATGGATAAAGTGAGAAATGAGTATATTAGAGGAAGTTTGAAAGTGGCGCCAGTGACTGAAAAGTTGAAAGGGAACCGTTTGTCTTGGTATGGCCATGAGAATAGGAGGGATGAAAAGCATGTTACAAAAAAAGTCATGAGTATAAATGTGGATGGATGGAGAGGCAGGGGGAGACCAAAGAAAATATGGATGGATTGTGTGAGGAGTGATATGGAAGACAGAGGAGTTAGCGATAGCGTGACGAGTGACAGGACAGAATGGAAGAAAAAAACATATTGCGCCGACCCCAAATAAAACGGGACAAGGGCAGGAAGATGATGATGAGTGATGTTGGGGTCCAATTCTCCTTCCTCCTCCCCGATCCTTGAATCTCCGAAACCCTAATGACCAAGTATAGGGCCGGCAACGCACTCGTGTTACCACGCTGATTGCTTACCATCAGGTAATCAGTCTACTCCTTCTGCGCTCTTCTATACTGATATTATAAAGAGGTAAAATTTGTAAGTTTCTATGTAGGGGGTAATCTTTGGAACCGCTGGTCGGATTGCCAAAATTCTTTCACTGATAGATAGCTACAATGTTTCTGAGTGTATAGGCTATAAAACATCACGCTACGATTAAATGGAGCCGAGCAGCCGGTGAATCTGCTCATCTTATTACCTGATAAATGGCCTGCTGTTATTGTCACATGGACCTGTAAAATTATAATGTTATTAAGTTAATAAGGCAGAATTTTTGACTGACCTTGACACAACATCAACCGCAAACCAAAAGAGCAAATTTTTTAAGGCGGGAAAAATCATCCAATTTCTTTTTGTGTCCTGAGGCTGTAAGACCTCTGACTGACACTTCCTCTGGCCAAATGTTTCCTCACAATATTTTCCTTCACTGTGTGTAAATAAACTTAGAAGTTATAACCAGGAAAATGTTATGTTTCGTCGTATGAGTGAGGTTACCGGAGGCCCAATCCCCAACCCCATCCCTTATCGCTTCCCAATCCTTAAATATCCTAAACCTTTATCCCTATAAGTCTTTATCCCTATAAGATTTCAAACATATAATTAGAAATTATAAGTCCCGGTTTACCTCACGATGTTTACCTTCACCGTATGTCAGTGGTGTCTAAATAATCATAGAAAGTCATGTGTAACTCAGGAAGAGTCAAAATAACCATAGAAAGTACATATAACTCGGTAAAAGTCACATTGGTACTTGCCAGGTTTCGAAACCACACCCTCATGCATGAGAAGCGGGCTGCTTAACGTCCGGGCTACATGAGTTTTGGATAAAAGTATTGAATTTGACTAGTTGGAAACTTTAAGTAACAGTAAGAGTCTGACATGCCCTTTTTCTTACCCTCGGCTAAAAAACAACCATACGATGATTTTTCCCTCACACAAAAAAAGCAACGCTCTATTACACTTAACAAAAAACTTTAATAATTGGTCTTTACCTATGAAAATGCCGTTCTGCAGTACTGGCCGTTTCAAATCAAAATATTTTTTTCTTAGGCTAAGGCTAATTAGTTTTGTTTTATAAACATGGGATTCTTTTTCCAAAAATAGTCATTTGTTTATTGATTAGTGTTATATACATTTTCATCGCATTTCAAATCGAAAAATTCGTTAAAATTTTTTCATGCAAAACGGCATATTTATAGGTAAAGACCTATTACAATACGGTAGTTTCCAACGAGTCAAATTCAATACTTTTATCCAAACGTCAAAAACGAAACGTTTCTATGAATTTTATATGTAAAACTGAGCTATGATGTCATAACTTTTTTGCGTCAAATATCTTAATAATTAGCTAAAAAAAATCTAAAAATTAGTATATCGATCGATCGATGAATAATTATTTTTCAAGTATAATTATTTTTCAATATTTATTGTATTGAAACGTCGAAATAATTTATTTTTGACCTAGGAAACTACACAATTATAGATGTTATAAATTACTCACAAATACCACAGCAATTATGAAACCAATTATCACTCGCATGGTTGTATGTAAGCCCCAAGTGGACAGATTTAATATATCTGTTATACCACTGCGACACTCACAAAGCGGTGACAAGATTTATATAATATTATTGAACAAACTTTTTGCAGCTGTGTCAATTCAAACTTTTTTGTTTTTCGACCGTAATTAGGTATACTAGGATTTTCGTTTTGGTTTTACTTGACTTCTGTGTTAATATAACCGGCGTATTATAAATCAGGTAATATACCTATCTATACTAATATTATAAAGAGGAAAAATTTGTAAGTTTGTATGTAGGGGGTAATCGTTGGAACCGCTGGTCGGATTGCCAAAATTCTTTTACTGATAGTTAGCTACAATGTTCCTGAGTGCTATAGGATATAAAACATCATGCTACAATCAAATGGAGTCGAGCAGCGGGTTTAACTGCGCGAGAGTAGCTAGTATGTATAGTATATTATAATAATGGTAAAATAAGTGTGGGAGAGTCATGCTTCGGCAGGAATAGGTCGGTTCGATAAGAGTGATACCACGGCCTCATAGAAAACCTGCGTGAGACCATCATAGCGTTGTGCTTCGCCGTATGAGTGAAGTTACTGGAGGCCCAATCCTTCCCCTCCCCAATTCCTAAATCTCCCAAATCCCAAATCCCTAAAAGGTCGGCAACGCACTCGTAACTCCTCGTCCATGGGCAGTGCTGATTGCTTACCATCAGGTAATCCGTCTGCTCCTTTACCTCCAATTTAGTTATCTGTATGTGAAACTGATTTAAAAAGAGTAACCATGGAGTTTCTTGCTCGTTCTTCTCCATAGGAATCTACACTTTGGAACGAGCAAATAGCTTCACTAAGAGGACTGACCGACAGACTGACACTTTATATATTCAAAATTTTGTTTGACGTTCAAAAGTGTCTAATTGGAATGAATGATTTTTGACTTTTGACTTTTAGTTTGGTCTATAACTCGCTTATGTGGAGTAACATTCGATGATTTATCCTCTTAACAAAAAGACCTTCAAAGACCTTTAAATCCGACGCCTACTTCTTCTGGTTTTGTAAGTGTTAACCGCGCTTAATATAAATGGTACGCCTGTTCATTAGTCCCATGAGCTCTTTTCCGTGTATTTCTTGGTTAAGATGGAAGATCTCTACATACAGAGGCCCGGTTTGGAGCAGGAGTTCTAACGACTTCTCTCGCCTTACCCTGGGCGGGAGAAGTCATTTGATGATTTTCCCCTGACAAAAAAAGCAGGAGACACACAAGAACATACATACCTACATACCTAAATAACATTTTCATATTTTTCCAACGCTGTGACGTCGATATTTGGAAACAAAATATGGTCAAATGCGTAACAAGGTGACGAGAATTGATTAATTATTATTTGTATTAAATTATTATTAATAGTTTTAGATCTATTGTGACCACGGAAGCTATAATAATTTGTAATAAGCCGGCGCCTAAATTCTATAGAGATTGAAGAACTACGTACATATGTATTGGTAGGTCAGTAAGGAGGCGTCCATATCAAATTGCGTAGTTTCATAGGTCAAAAATAAATTAATTCGACTTTTCAATAGAATAAAATATTGAAAAATAACTATAGTTTTTTTTATTCATCAACTAGCTACTCTCGCGTGGTTTCTCCCGCTACTCAGCTTCATTTGATTGTAGCGTGATGTTTTATAGCCTATAGCACTCAGGAACATTGTAGCTATCTATCAGTGAAAGAATTTTGGCAATCCGACCAGCGGTTCCAAACATTACCCCCTACATACAAACTTACAAATTTTACCTCTTTAGTATATATATAGATATGGCATAACACAAAATTTTCGGTACTTTTTCAGCTCATTTTTAATATATATTTGACGCGAATATACTATGACGTCATAATTTAGAATTTCATACAAATTTTAAAAGTATAGTTTTGACATTTGGATAAAAGTATTGAATTTGACTAGTTGGAAACTACGGTATTTAGTATGTGAGATTATTAAAGGGGGTCGAGTCGAATCCCATCTAATCCCATGTCGGGGAAAGCGGTCTTGACGAATACCACGCAATTTTTTTTATTGTAGAAATGAAATATATATAATATCAAAAAAAAAAATAAGCATTTTTTTATGCGAACGGCAAACGAGCAGACGAATTACCTGATGGTAAGCAATCAGCCCCGCCCATGGACGCCCGTAATCCCAAAGGAGTTACGTGTGCGTTGTGAAAAATCTCACATGAGATTGAGGGTATAGGGGAGGGGGTTGAATGATTCCCATGGCCAATCCTTCACCAAGAGGGGAAGGACAGAAAATAATAAAATATTAATAAATTAAGAAAACCCCCGACAGAAATAGCATAAGCTACCTTTAAAAAGTATATAATACTTAATTGAAATCGTTTCATCCGTTCAGGAGCTATGATACCACAGACACACAGACAGACACGTCAAACTTATTAAAGTTTTTGTTTTTCGTGACGTTCAAGTCATAAGGCTTCATTTGATACCCCACTTGAGCATATTATTTGCAGACATTCGGTTTTTCTTCCCCACTTTAACCCCCCATCACTTTTAAAAGGCTCAATAGATTTTTATCAAACATGTCTAAGAACACTCGCCCGTAAAACACCTGTTATACAAAAAAACTAAATTGA